TGTAAGATTTTATGTGCTTCATGTTTGGAGAGGCGGCATCTTGCGCCTTCCCAAGGGACTGATTATGTAATTTCTTTCTGATTTAATGGAAATATGATATTTTATCTATCAAAAAAACAGCTTACCCTATATTGGATTTGAATGTACAAGGCTACATCTTCAATGTTAATAACACAACAATTTATTTTATTTTATTGGAAATGTTAACTTCATTACTACAAAATTAAGATACAATTGTCAACCCCTAATATAGGTGTTGAGCCAAGTAATATGAATTACAAAACTGCCCAGAACACCTCACAGTCCCTTGTTTGGCTAAGGTACCAGCCAGACCATTAGTTGATCTTCTTGTCCACTTGAAGCGTACACCAATCTCCCATGTTATATTGAGAATTTCCCGTATGGGATGTCGATACATCCATGCTCCCAACTTGCCTGATTGCAGCCAATCCATTAACAATTAGAGTCTCCTTCTATCTCAACTTGGTGTAACCACAATTGTTTGGCATATCTTACGCCTTGAAGCAAAGCCATCACCTCCACTCTCAATGAGTCCCCCTTCCCTATTGGCCCAGAAAACATAGCAACAATTCTCCCCTCTCCATCTCTGAATACTCCCCCTATAACTGAAGGCCCCAGGTTACTTATAGAGAGATCCTGTCAAAGTTCAACTTTATTCTTTATTGTGTTGGTGGGGACCATAGCTCCTACACAATAGGTTTTGTGTATGTTGTAGCTGCCACCACCACTAGGGGTGGCCACGAGCCAAGCTTTTCACGAGCTATTCGAGCTCGGCTTGTGAAAAGTTTGGCCCAGCTCGGTTTAAATCAAGATTCGAACCAAGCTCGAGTCCGATATATAGGCTTGTTTGATAATCGAGACAAGCTCGAGCCCAGTGAAGCTTGGCTCATGAGGCTCGCGAGCCTAGTATAATAAATAAATAATTTTATTATATATGTACATAATACACATACATATATATTGAATAATTATAATATAATATTTTTATTGTTTATGTATAATAGTAAACAATTTTTATAATTCTTAATTTTTGTCTAGAAAATAAAAAAAAATTAATTTTATACATATAATTTTTTTTTCAAGAAAAAAAACTTGGCTTATAGTCGAGCTCAAGCCAAGACGAGCTCGAACTAGTGAGCTATGAACTGAGCCAAGCTCGAGCTCAAGTCTCTAGCTTGAATCGAGCTCGAATAGCCAAGTATCCAACTCGGCTCAGCTCGAATCCACCCCTAACCACTCCCCAATTCCTAAATATGTCCTCGACTGAGAAATCTTTAAACAAATCCAAAGTTTTCAACAAATGGATAGTCATAATGGTTATTCTTTCTACAGTTTCCTCCTTGGATTTCTCCACTCCTTTAAAGATCATGTTGTTTCTTTCTTCCTAGAATGACTAGAGTATAGCTACTCTTGTGGCTCTCCACATAATTCTACCACGCCTCTTTGGTTGCCTAAAAAATCTTGGGTCAAAAAGGCTTACCATATCCGGAGGAGGTGTCCACCTGCAACCAAAGAGAGAGAGAACCAAGACCAAATAAAGTGCACAAAAGGACAAAATATTAACAAGTGTGTGGTCGTCTCACCAGAACCCAAGTAGAGGCTACAAACATGGGGTGAAAGGCAAAAATTTGTCCTTTTTCTTTGCAACACCATTGTCATTTCTAACACCCTTATAGTCCTCACCTCAATCCCAAGTCCCGAGAATTATCAGTAGAAACAGAAGAGATCATTTTTCTCTTATTTTCTAGCAGTGAATAAATAGTAGGGAACCAATCACTAAGGGGAGTCTCTCCAACCCAAACATCTTCCCAAAATAACACTTTGTTTCCTGCATAGGCATCAAGTTTAAAGGATGGAAAGCAATATACCATAAATAGCTATTCATAAAAAAAAATATACCATAAATAGCTTTCTAGGGAGTATATCAAGAAGCCCTAGGGTAGGGTCAACCCCCGCATCCCAACCATTGTCTGCCAACCATCAACAATTTAATTGATTGAGAATCTAAGATAATAGACTTTTGGAATATTCTTTTTCTTTAACTTGGATTGCATACTCTTGTATATTGAGTTTTCTTTTATCTTTTCTTCAAAAGTGGTGCCTTGCTTTGTTTAAGGGAACACCTAACCTTGAAACTTAGGCTCTAGGAACTCGTTGTACTTCTCACTTTCAAAACACTAATCCTGCATAGCTCCACCCATTCAATTTTCTCATGTTTATTCTTCTACTTGTAAATTATTTCTTCAATCTATGCAACACAACCAAGGTCAACAAAACAATACAAATTATTGAAACTTTGCATGTTTTATGCCCCAATGGCAACTATTATGGATTTCTAAGTTTCTAACCCAAAACTCATGCTTAGAGTTCATATCTATGATACAGACACCTATACATACCTAGTGTTCTGGTATCATATCCAAATACTTGTAGATACAGTACTGGATACAGCAAGGATACTTCTGCATGTAGCCTATGGCATTAACACTTCCAAGATAATGTAAACTTGTAAAGTGGTATGTTTTAATAAATTATACCATAGAAGTATATGCACATGTTAGAAATTTAATTAATTAAAGTTGGCAAGACATAAGTTTTGAAAATAACATTTGGCATCAAAAACTAGATTACCACATAGGATACCTATACCCATATCCATGTCCAGGATTTTCGGAAATGGAGAGTTGTATCCCCATATCCTGTATCAATAATTGTGTCCTTATATGGGCATCATAGCTCATATACATTCTTTAATTTTTTTTATTTTTTTTCAAAGGGCTTTGTTTTATTTTCCATCATTTGTAGGTAAAAGAATCATTAGGTGTGGTTCAACTGACTTCAAAATCAAACTTGATTGTATAACCTTAAAACTTTAGTCTACAAGTAGTAAACTTTGTCATATTAATATACTTTTTTATCAGTAAAATGATTTCATTCTTTCATTTAGATTAAAGCACAATAACACATTACATAGTGATGTTGATACAAATAAGGTGTGCCATTTTACGAGGTAATAAAGCCTATTTACAAGTCAGCCCAAAACAGCCGTTCCCTATACAGCCCTTGTTTAGCCAAGCACTCAGCCATCCCATTTGCTGTCCTTTTTACCCATCTAAAGGTTGCCCCCAACTCCTTTACTATGCTCTCTATCTCTCTTAGAGTGTGCCTGTATATCCACACCCCACACCCCAGGATTGCTGTCATTCATCCAAGATATCACCAACTTTGAGTCCCCTTCATTCTCCATCTGCTGGAAGCCACATTGCTTTACTATCCCCATTCCTTCAAGCAATGCAATCACTTTTGCTTTTAGAGAATCCGCCACTCAAAGTGGAACTGAATATATGGTTACCACTCTCTACCCCTTGAATCCCTGAAAACACCTCCAATTCCTGACATTCCTGGGTTACCCCAAGGAGCTCCCATCAAAGTTCAGCTTCATTCTATTATTTGGAGGAGGTTTCCACTCCATGACAATTTTGTCTTTTAGTGTGAAAAAGTGTACTACTTCATTCTATTATTTGGAGGAGGTTTCCCCCTTCTTTGTTTGCCTCAAAAAATTAGGGCTGAAGAAATTAGCTATATTATTTTCGTCTTAGCTTACTTATAAAATGGATGAAAATGAAAATGAAATAAAGTCTAATAGCTTATTAACTAATACAATCCTACTCATTAGTTGTTTTATTAGCATCTTCATCTTAGCTACATTCATTTTATGGGCATGTTGCTAACCATCCAACATACTGTTCCATATAGCATTAATAGCCTTATAATTGTCTTACAAAATTTACCTCTTAATTTGATTGGTATTCTCCAGTTGCAAAACAATGTAAATACAACTTCCTACTTAATCTACTGTGCTCTAATTCCATGGGAACACCCATGTTCAATATCTTCCTCTACAGTTTATCAAACAAAAGGGAAGTTGTCACTTTGAGGTATCTATTAGTCTCCTATCTTAATTGTACCCTTATTCTCACCTGTTATTGCTAGTTGCATTGCACATACCTATCTTATTTGTAATTCCTACTTATCTTAAAGCCTTTTGATTCTACAGTCTACATTATCTTTGCATACTTCTAATTTTGCATGTAATCCACTCTAGTCTTGAAAACCAGAATGCATGTCGTCAGAAAACACCATATACCATAGAACTTCCTCATGCACATCCTGAGTTGATTCATCCGGGACTAGTGTAAATGGGTAGATTATGGGCTTACCCTGATAAAGGCCCATTGTAACTAAAAATTCTAGAAGCTTTGCCTCGGGTTGTTCTAAAACTAGTTAGTGTACCATCTTACTTATTCCTAGTCCCTAATTAAATCCAAAATCTAAATACATATTTGAGACTCCTTTCTTTCCCAAAACTCATTATATTATCTTGTAGGGACTCTTTCATATTTTGTCTCTAAATCACGTGGAGATCTCTCCTCTTCTTCTTACACTTTTCTATCAAGTGTTCAAACAAAAAAAGACAACTTCCATGGTTGATTTCCTTCAAGATAAAACAGGTTTCATGATACTTCTTTTAACTGATTTTCTGATACACCTGTTTCATACCATATTATTTCCAAGATGAAATCACCAATCATAATATACCTAATACACTCAATTAGTTATTAGAACTAGTTTAAAGTTGGTATCATTCACGTCCAGACAGATTAAAGATAATAGAACCAAATTCCGCTACCATAGTTTCAGACAACTAAAATAGGGCATGGGCTGAAGTAGTGAGAAATGATTTAAGGACCCATAGCTTAGCAATGGATATGGCATGGAACAGAGGAGAATGGAAGAACAGGATACATGTAGCCAACACCATACAGTTAAGACAAGCCTTAATTAATTGAGTTTAGTTTCAGATTACTAAATCCCTATTACCTAAGGATTATATGCTTAACAAACTACTACTTACCTAGAAAGAAAAGAATGCAGGAAATAGAAAAGAAAAGGTGGGGGGAGGGGGGAAAATCTTTTACCCTATCGCGAGGTTGCCTGACTCCATTATTGTTGTCCAATCCATCCCTAAGCATCAAAGAATCCATAAGCTCTTCAGCCAAAGCATCCTGTTCACGGCGACTAACCCTTCCATAAGCTCTATCGCCTTTCTCATTTTTATTCCTCTCTTTTCGACTCGGATATGGGGGCAAGCGTCCTTCTTGAGCAACCTCGGCGTGCAAATTTGCTAGAGATTCTTCAGCATCCAATGCTGAAACAGTATGCAGGTTACTTCCCGACGGAGGACCGGGGTGATCAAGCTGACGATGGAGCCCTAATGTAGAAGATGCATCATCTTGAAGTCGAGTGTTTTCAGGTGTCTGTCTTCTTATCATCCCATCGTTATCAAAAGATGGAAAGACAGCATGGTTCATCTCACTCTGAGTAGCCGCTTCCTTATCCACATTATGGTTAAAGTCTCGTCTCCCACTGAAAGAACCACGCTGCCCTGTCCCCTTTGGTTTGTTTGGAAAACCAGGCGGTGTTCGCTTGGGTTCCGGCAGAACAGACCTCTGGAACCCAGGACCAGGATGTTGCTCTCTCCCCAATGCGGTTCCTACTCTTCCTTGCTCATTTAGTACAGGGTTACGTTGCTGAGGACTATCAAATTGCCAATTTCGACTGGAATTAACAGAACTTGGAGAACAAAACTCTGAACCATACGAGGTTTTGCTCCCCAAGACCCCTTCTTGATCCTTCCGAATATTGAATTGCGCCTCTAAGTTCACACCATCAACCCCTAGCGCCGGGGGCTGCGAAGAATTCCCATTCGATAACCCCTCGTGGCTCCGAAGTTCGCACGCCAATGAACCAAACATTAACATGCTCTCCTGCTGCTGTTGCTGAAGCTGCAACAGATTTCCACCAGCGCCAAGATTACCAAAAGGACCTAACCTTTGAAGCTCCTCGGCAACGAGCCTGTGATTTCCGGGATAACGTGAACTGCGATGGTAATCAAGCCCGTCGGTTCCTGGAGGTGGAAAGCCGGGGAAAGCCCAAGGGTTCTGAGGGAACGGAGGGAGATGGGCGTTAAGGGGGTGAGGAGTATTGGTGGCGTTAGGCCAAGGAGGGTGGAGATCACGGCCGTTGGAGGGCCACGGCGGGGAGGGAAGGGTGGGGCCCATTGCTGCAACGGCGGGATCATTTAGATAGTCAAGAGGATGATGGGGATCGACGGGGAGAGATTGAGGTGGGGTTAAAGAAGAACTGGTGTTTGGTGGTGTTGATGGAGGTATCTGGGGTTGAGGGGATTTCTGAAGCAATTGAAGGAGGAATTCGCCGCCAGAGATGGGAGTAGGGGGAGGAGGCGGCGACGCTCCCCCGCCGCCGGCGGTCATGGGAGTCAGTGTGAGCTGAGAAGAATCTAAAGTCTGAAGCCTGAAGTCTGAAGTCTGCACTCTGAAGAGTCGCCAAATCCAAAAATTGAAAGAAAAACCCCTCTAACTCGAATTGACAGAACTGTCAGAACAGACTGCAGAGTCACAGCGGTACCGATTCTCAACGAGTTAGGTTCGACGATTCCGTTCTCCCTATAAAATCAAAAATCTCTTGTTTCTCTCTTTTTTTTTTTACTATGATCATGACACAAAGACCCATTTCGTTAACTTTTCGTTAAAATTCTCTCTTATAATATTTTTTAATCCCCACACTACCTTTGTAAAAAAAACATTATTTATCTTCCCCAATCTCAGGACACAGGAATAACGGTGGCGGTATTTCTTCACATCTCTTTCTGGTCAGCTTCTCTCAGCTAGGTTAGCAACATCACCCCAGCCGTAATCCCTTCCATCATCAAGTTCTACCCGCGGTGAATCAGGAACCCGCCCACAGCTCCATAGTTCAGTATTGGGACTTGTGGGACCCATCTCCTTATGATCAAATCTGACTATCAAAACAAACGTAAAGCACAGATTCGTCAGGTCAACGATTGAGCTAGCACATCAGCAAGTGATACCAAACTGGGCTCACCTTGTTCATCAGATCTAGCACCAGCACCAGCAGCATCCATCATAGCCCAAGGGCCCACACCACTCCCTGCTTCATCTTCTTATTCTTCTCGTTGCCAATTCCTAATCCGTTCGATGGCGGGTTCTGCAACCTCCGAATTGATTCAAATTTAGAGAGACGATAATACATTTGATGCTTATGTGATGGGCAAAGAAGGTGCTCCTGGGATAGTGGTGTTGCAAGAGTGATGGGGGTTGATTATGAGGTCAAGAACCATGCTTTGAAAATTTCCCAGAGGAATCCTGATTTTAAAACACTCATCCCAGATTTGTATCATGGAAAGGTTGGTTTAGATGTTGTGGATAGTCTTGATTAACAAGGTGCTGTTAAGGATATTCGTGCTTCAGTTAGTTGGCTCAAGTTAAATGGTTCACAAAAGGTAGGTGTCACAGGATTTTGCATGGGCGGTGCTCTCTCAATTGCAAGTGTTGTTTTGATTATTGAAGTTGATGCTGCTGTTGCTTTTTATGGAGTTCCTTTCTAAGGGGAAGGGAAAAGAAGAGAGATCGGGGGAGAGAAAGAGGGAGAGAGAGAAAATGTGAAGAAATACGGCCTTGTTGTTCATGTATCGTGAGGTCAAAGAAGATGAATAGTATTTTTCTTAAAGGATAGTATAGGAATTAAAAATATTATAACGGCGAAATTCAACAGAAAACTAACGAAAGGGGATCTTTGTCTCACGGTCATAGTATAAAGAGGTCTTTGTCGCAAATTTTTGTTACAGACTTCGGAGTCTTTGTAATTTACCCTTTTTTTTCTCTCTCTATATCTAGTTATACACAGTCAACCAATGAACACGTTCTCATAGGACGAACCATGAGAACCCTAGCGTTAGCTTAAAATTGGTAGAGACATAGAGATCTCATGGTTTACTCGTTCATGGGATCGCGCACTCCAGAGCCCTCTCAGTAGGTATGGACACAAGAACAATCGAGACCCTTGATTAGGAATTCATCTTGATCCGCAAAATGGACACGTGAAAAGTTTCAGAAGTCAGAACATGGATTAGACTGGCTCTCATGATTTTTTATATTTTAAGTTAATTATTAAACTACTGCTTTTTTCTCTGCAAAGTTTCATTAAACTACTTAAATATGATATATGGTTTCTTAAATTATTTATATGCCTTGTTAATTCTAAGTAGCGGAGGGCCCTGCAACATGATGGTAAGTGCGGAAAAAAATTTGTGAAAGATAAATTTTTTAATTAAAAGTTTATTAGAAAAAATATCTATTTAAAATAAGTAAAAATTTATAGATAATAATATATTTAATTTAATAAAATAAAACAATAAATAAATCATGGTCATCCGGTAATAGAGTGAAAGAGGGACTGATAACTTTTGTCTTATTTTTTGTTATAGAGTGGAAAAATTGTAAATAGTTAAATAAAAATTAATTTAATTTAATAAATAAATAAATTTATAAAACAGATGAGACAAATAGACAATCAAGTGAGAAAGTACATATATATAAATATATACACAATTCTATGTCTTACTTTACTAGCAATAATAATTTGTTATATTATTAAATTATTAACTAATTAAATAATTTAATAAAATAAGTATAAATAAATAAAACTTCATGTATTATCAACACAAGATTGTTAAAGACTATCTCAAATTATTTAATTAATTAATTTAGCGTTGTTAATGGGTCGGGCTGAACTATTAGGTTATTGAGCCCATGAATAGCCTTAACCTGGTTCATGGCCTGGCATGGCCTAAGACTTAGCCCACGGACCAGCTTGGCCCATGGTACAGCACAGTCTAAAATAAAATTTTAAGATCTTCTTTATTTTTTGTATTTTCTTAATTTATGTTAAAATTTTCATTATTTTTTCAAAAATTAAAAAAAAATGGCTTAGCCCGATTTATGGCCCAACCTGGCCTAAAGACTTGGTCCGTGGCACGGCATAGGTCCACGTGGGCTCGGACTATATATTATACAATAATTATATAATATATTAATATATAATTTATTTTCAATTTTATTATATTATTGCATATATAAACAATTGTACACATCAAAATTCATATAAAATAAAATTTTAATATCATTTTTTAATTTTTTTATCTACTTTATAATTTATAAAAACATGGCTTAGCCCATTTTGTGGCCCGACATATATATATACACATATATATAATTTTATTTTCAGTTTTATACATCAAAATTCATATAAAATAAAATTTTAAGATCTTTTTTATTTTTTTTGTCTTTTATTAAGTTATGTTACATTTTTCATTATCTTTTCAAAATTAAAAAAAAAAACATGGCTTAGCCCAATTTGTGGCTCAACTTTGCCCAACTTGACTCGTGCCACATCATGGGCTCGCACGGGCTGAGGCCATATATTATATACAATAATTATATAATATATAATTTTATTTCAATTTTATTATATTATCGCATATATAAACAATTATATACATCAAATTCATATACAATAAAATTTTAAGATCTTTTTAAATTTTTTATCTATTTTTTAATTAAAGTTAACTTTTTCGTTATTTTTTTTCAAAATTTTTAAAAACATGGATTAGCTCAGTTCTTGGTCCAACCTAGGCCTGAGAACTAGCTTCGCTTGTAGCATGACATAGCCCTGCGCAGGCTCGAGCCAAGGGCTGTGCCAATTCAACCCCTTAAAGTATTTGAGGGGGAGGAAAGCATGTCCTACATGGCACAACCTAACACGGCCCGATTGTAAATAAAATGAGAGATAAAGACAATGTTTAACAAATATGCAAAAGGTAAAAGTTTAGTAGCATTATTGTAAATAATTAGCAGTGGTATCATTGTAAATAATTACATGTTTAGTATCAAATATGAAAGAGGAGAAGGAGAAAGGACAAATTATGATTTTTTTTTTGTTCTATTCAATGACATCATTGTAATTAATTAAATTTGTAATGGTAATGGTTAAAAGCATAAAAAGGAAAATATTATAAGATTATAAGATTTCATTTAGCAAATGCACGGTCGTATAGCCTTTTGCTTTTAAGTTATATATATAAGATTGTAATGGTAATGGTTAAAAGCATGAAACATTGCTCTGATACTTTAAAACATGGTTTTAATACCGCCGTTGATTTAGACGGTCAGATTGTTCAACCCAGAAACTCATCAAGGTACCGGTTCCATTTTAGTGTTGAACTATTATTTTATTAAAAATTGTTGAATCAATCAATAAATCGTTGACTTAGATGGCCTGACCATTAAACTGTTCTACTTAAACAATGGTTTGCGGTCTAATATACCTTGTTTAAAATTAAAAAAAATAATAATAATAACAGAAAAAGAAAAAAAATAGAGGGAGATGAGATTGATCTTAGATTTGAGATTCGAGAGAAAGAAAGAGAGATCCGAGGGATATATCATAAATGAGAGAGAGAGAGATCTCAGAGACAAGATGATGGATTTGTGAGAGAAAGATCTGTTGCTATTGTAGGCCACCATCGTCGTTGCCATCGCCATCACTAGTATAGGTTACCCACACCTCTACTTTTTCCTCCTTTCTTCTTCTTCTTCTTCCATTCTCTTCTTTTTCTAAACTTTTTGTTTTTTTTTTGTTTTTCCTTCTCTAAGTCGTGGAGCTCTCTCCTCACTCTCATTCTCATCCCCATTCTTGTAACATCATCTATATTCATCCACCATCTTACCTTAATATTCCAATTCAAAAGGTAGGATGAAATATACTATTAAAATGTTTGAAACCGTTCAACCTAGACTGTCAAACACTAACCCGAAAACCGGCGGTTAAAACAGTTCTGTTTTCTGTTTGGTTTTAAAATCCTTACTTTAAAATATAGTGAATGGTGGGTGGGTAAGTTACTTATTCACCCTCTACGAGAGTATCAATTATTTGGGTAATCAGTAGTCTCTCGAACATTTAAATTCCATGGGCCCCATTTGTAGTGGCTAGTGAATGTGGTTTTTTTTTCTGTAGGACCAACTAGCTTACCCGCTCGTCTTTACTAAAAAATGAACAAGGCCTAAGATAGACAAAAAGAAATAAAAGGAAATTATGTTCATGACTTTTCATTAAATTTTCAAAACATGTCCCTCCTCTTCTTCTTCTTTCTTCTTTATATAAGTTAGATCTTCCTATTGGGTTGATAATGGGAGAATGACATTGAAATCTCCTTTGAATATAATGGTGGTGCTTGGACTGATGTCGATTTTTCAAAAATCAGTGCCACATAAAAGTCATAGTGATGATTCAAAAATCACAAATTATTTTGCTGTTTGATTGGCCGATTTCTAGGAATTGGTGAATCGATCAAAATTGATTATTAAAATCGGGTTGTTTTCAAGCTGATTCTGTTATTCTTCCTTTAGATGATGTGACATATGAAGTAGATAAGGGAGGCTTCCATAAAAGAAAAAACACTACTAATAATCACCACCAAAAAAACTCAGCAGATTTTTGAGAAATCAGTTGATATAGCAGCAATGGTACCAAACAAACTATTTCTCTCATTCCTCATAAACCTATTATCTCATAAATCAATGATTTATGAGAAATCTGATCAAAGGAATCATCATCAATCCCAAACACCTCCTTAATCGATTAGGAAATGTTTCACCTTTGAAAGAGGAACAACAAAAGAAACAAGTTGAAATATTCTAGCCCGACCGATAGCTATGTCTTCAATCAAACTAAATAAGTCAATAACTTCTACAACTAGAGATCTAAGTCATAGCCCCCGATGTCAGAATGCATCTTAAATATATGATGAGAACTAGCTACCTAGAACTTCAAGTCAAATGAAATGCTTAGCCATGGTGG